CTGAAGAAAGTTTCTACCATTTTCCAGTATCTGTAAAGAAGAACTCTGTGCCCTTCAATGGAGAAGAACCACTTTCTTCTGAAGATGCTCTGGGCCTTCAAAGAAATATGTCCTAAGCGGACACCTCATCCTCGATCAAGGCGTGCTCCAGAGGGGGAAAGTTTGTGGCCATCTATCTCTATCTGTGGCAGTGTGGAGGCACCCAGCCTCATCCGGGGTCAGTAATGAGCTAAGTCACCTCAAAGGCATTGGCACTGGCAAGGGCCTCACAACAACAATTTGTCTCCTAGAAACTGGGACGATTAAGTGCTACCAAGAGCAAAAGGAATAATTATTTCATAAAATACAGTCCACTTCACATTTTCCACACGATACTATCCATCAGGAATGTGATATGACACCTAAAACAGCACTGGCTAGAGATAAAATATGAAAATGAGCTGGAAACACAGGCTGATTGCCAAGGGGTTGGATGTTTTTCCTTTTCAAGCATTCAGACCTGGTTTTCAAAGCTGATGCTCTGAATGAACAATAGATATCAGAATCGTTGCCATATGTTTTGTGCGAGCTTAACAAACCAGAGACAAGGTTTAATTGGCTCACTGAATTGTGTCTTTGAGAGACTTTAATTTTCCTATAAGAACAGTAAATGCCAACAAGACAGACATCCCTGTTCCCCTCAGCTGTTTATAGTTCAAAGAAGTAAACAAGACATTATATTAAAAACACTCCCTGCATGCTGCAACGTCTAATTTGAATTTGTGCAAGTGTTAGAGGGGAAAAAGAGAGGGTGGTACGCAAAGGACCCTCAAGCCTGCCTGATACCTAGACCCTTGAAGCCTGATCCTGAGTCCACTGTGGCTTGAACATCCCATCGCTGTCTTGAGGTACTGAACAGGATGGTATTTGTCAATGTGTTTAGTTTATAATGGCTTTGAGATAGCATTTGGAGGCATATTCATCTTGCAGACATATGGCAGGAGTGCCATTTATCAAGCTGGATGTAGAACACATTAAATGCAATTCTGGTGTCTCCTAATATCCCTTAAGGGGACCATCACACTAACTTGGGCAGGGCTTACAAAGGCTCAGCCGAAGTGTCACCTCCTCTGTGGGCCAACTTAATTGCTCTCTTTGCTGTGCATGCCAAACAGTGTCATAGTTGCTGGCTGTTGCCTGCCTTCCTGGCAGGCTGACATCCTGCTGGGCAAAGACTATGTCTTATTTATCTTTGGATCTCCAGTAACTTGCCATGTTTTGTAACCAGTAAGATTTTGTGCCACGACCATAGGGATTCATTTAATGAAAGCCAAGTGTTAGATCAGACTACCACCCGGATTCTGAACATCCTCTGCAGTGTGTTACCCCTCCCCTTTCCTTATCGTTGGAGTCCCTAGGAGTGCGGAGGATGGCATACTCCCCGCCGCCCCAGGAGCCCTGGAAAGAGGAGGGGCCTTAGCCAAATAATTTTTTCAGGCCATTACTGGGTAAAGAATATTAGAAAACAAAAAACCCAGAAGCCAAAACAATTCAGCTCAATAATCTAATGAGTCATTTCCTGTGCCAAAATCCACTGTAGGCACAATACATCTTTGACCTCAGGAAGGCTCTCAGCTCCCATAGGCCAGTTACTGCGCATGTGTGAATAAACCTGCCCAAGAAGGTAGAGTGACATGCTTGAGTGATGGAGCCTTATTGCTCTTCAGGCCTCACATCCCCTGAGGAATGAGGCAGAGGGAGTCATCTCTCTCTGTTCCCACAGGCTCAGTACTCAGCTGTGGACTTGATCCCATCCTGCTGTGATTAGAGATCTGTGTCATTTGGCTGTGAGCTCAAGAGAGTAGGGATTGTGTCTTTGTCAGTCAGCTTCTAAATGTCCTCAATTAAGAGATGAGATTAGCCGCTTAAATAAGTGCTGCATTAACTTTTCCAGAGAGATGAGAGCAAATGTCTATTTGCCTCAGATAGGACACCCAAAGATGACAGACCAAACAAACAAATAAATAAATAAATAAAGCGTCCAATGCAAACCTAGTCCAATACAACAATGAGTTCCACTGGAACTACTTACAGGAACAATGGTGAGGAGTTACTTACAGGGACACTAGTAACTTACAGGTGACAACTCTACCAGTCTGTCCCCTCCAGCAGCTACACTGCTTACACACCCTCAGGAAGTGGAGAAGCCACGTGAAGCTCCTGTGTTTACTGTTCCTCCTCCCCTAACATCCTCTTGAAGGGAAAAACCAAAACCCAAACCAAAACAGAGTTAATTAGATGCAGCAGAGTGGAGAGGACATCTTGGAACAAGTGGAAAAGCTGAGTCCAGACAGGCCTAAGTGTTGCTTTGTGAGGATGTAAAGTGCGCAATGGGGGCAATAAACAGTAGTTTTGCTCAAACTGGTTCTAAGGGGGCGGCGTCACGGGAGAACTGTAATGCCAGTGAGTGTCCTGAGGGGGAAAGCGATGGAGGGGTGCTCAGTAGCTAGACACCATACTCTCCTCAAAGGTGCTGCCAACACTACAGCACTTGCAAGTGTGCTCTGAGAGCAAAGGATGTTGTAAAATCGTTTGGCATGAGGGCAATCGCTGCATGTAAGATCTGGGAAGCCAAGCGTAAAACAGCCTTCCAGGGCAATGCTACTCCCGCTGCATACGGAACACGCAGGCTGAAATGAGAAACTGTGGAGCAGCTCGAAGCTCACCTGACCGAGTGATCACAGGAGACTCTCACTTTTCCTCATTCTATTCATTGTTAGGTTTTCACAATGACGCAACGAATGAGCGCTTGATCTGCACTGAGAAGATTTAATAGAACCTAAACATTGTAAAATGCTAAGACATACTCGCCTACATGCATGCTTTGCCTCACACACATACAAGCACAGAGGGAGACAGACAGATACAGACACTCACAGACACAGAGACAGTGACAGACACACACGCGCGCACACACACACACACACACACACACACACACACACGAGAGAGAGAAAGAGAGAGACAGGGGAGAGAGAGAAAAAGAGAGTGAAAGAACCATTTTGTTGCTTTTAGTGCCTCAAATATCCTGCTGTCCCACTGCACTCATACAGAACTTTCTTTGGGGCAGGTCTCCGAAGTTGTAGAATCTTCTATGTAAAACCACTTGGAATCCTTGTGGGCTCCCTCCAGCCTGCGGGGAAATGGACAGATGAGCTCTAATATGAGAGGTAAAGGCAGGCCGTGATTCAGCTGTCTGGCTTCACTCGGCAGAGCTCCTGCAGGAAGTGAGCAGGGGCAAGGGGTGGCCCTTGTCATTTGGTGGTGGCACCACCCTGCTCAGTAAGGGCAGAAAGCCAGAGCTCCACTGACCCCCTCCAAAATCAGCCCTTCACTGCTCCTTCACTACTGTCCGCACAGAAGTGTGCCTGTACACCACAGATTCATTACAAATGGCAGGAGGAAGATGCAGCTGATCATTGGGCCTCCACTAGCTAGCTGCAGCGGGGCCTTGCCCTGCTCACTCTGCCACAAACGGGCCTGGACTGTGAGAGCAAAAGCCAAAGCAACTCACTCTTAGGAATCCCAGGGGGGAAGTGGCAAAGCAGTAAGTAAAAAGTTCAACTCGATAAATAGTTCCTTGAAGGCTCTGCTGAAGAACAATCTATCACTGGGTACAGTGATGTGGCCAAAAGTATGAGCTCTATAAAATAATGAAGTATTGCCTGGGCCACAAGAAGGAAAACGAGGGTAGGTATGGCGAGTACACAGTGCTCCGGAGACTGCATCTACCGAAGGAGCGAACTGTGGACAGCTGTCTTTTTCATAGAGAGAGGGAGGGCATCAGATGCCCAGAAGGACATCAGCACCCCACCGCCACCTTTCTGAGCACCTGCTTCACGTTAACCGCTACCTCTTCATAGGCTTGTCCTTGGGTGCAGGGACGTAAGCATATGCTTTCATTTCCTTGGGAGTTCTATAGAATTAATACCTGGGCTCTCCAGTCATTACGAAAGATAAAGGAAATGTCTACTTGTCTTCTTTAATGTAGTGTTTGTTTGTTTGTTTGTTTGTTTCCCCTTTACAACAGGGTTCCACGTAGCTTAAGCTGGGCTGGAATTTATTATGCAGATGAGGACGACATTAAACTTGTGGTCCTCCTGCCTCCACCTCCACCTTCTGTGGTGCTGAGATCATGGGCCTGCCCTACCACACAGAGTCTATAAGATGCTGAGATGGAACGCAGGGCTCTGATTGTGTGAGGCAAGCACCATCCCAACTGAGCAACATCTGCAGCGTCTACAAGAGCTTCTGTGGCTTTCCCCAAAGGCATCCTACTGCCTCTAATCCCCTCGTGCCCAGGCAACCCACGGCCTAGCTGGGTGGCCTACACAGGTCCTGCCACCCCTAAAGGAGGCATGCATGCCTCACAGGATTGCTGAGAGGCCCAGATGAGCACACACAAATGGACAAGGCTCCAAAAGAAGCATTTTGGAAATGCTGCACGGCAAATATCTGCTCATTTGCTTTGATACAGCATGTTGTTAATTGCTGAAGCTGGCCTGGAACTCACTACACAGCCCGGGATGGCCTTGAGGTGATCATCCTGCTTCAGTCTCTCAAGAGCTGGCATTACTAACGTGTACACCTGTCTGGCTAGCACTGTTAATTGGCTGTTAATGAAAGGCTGGACAACCCCTGACCCCCTCAGGAATGCAACACCTTCAGCCATTCAGGTCTCAAGGGAAACACCGAGACCCTTTGCCTCTGAGCCAATGCCTTTAATAAATGGACAGAGATCTCTTACACATTGTTAAGATGAAGGGCTGCAGTTCTCTCCCTGGTCTCTTCAGGGAGCTTTGGTATCTCATGCTTGATCCATACATCCTACATGAGCTATTTATCCCCACTATTTCATGGTCGCTGTCAATCTTGTTCCACTCCCACAATTTACACCCTCAATCTATACAACAGAAGAGAGAGAGAGGGAATACTTCCTCATGAAAGAGGCACATACTATCCACAATTGACTTTTTATTATTATCATCATCATTATGAAGTGCTAAGCCCACAGTCCAGTTTCCAGGCAACATCAGAATGGATGCTTTGTGCGCTGGATACCTGCATCACTGTGATAGCACTTTTTTTTTTCTGGACTTCTGTTAAAAGGCAATCACGCAGTTCAAAACTGCAGGCACAACAATGCAGTCTTCAAGCAATTAAAGCCAACGGATTGTTGAGCCAGTGTGGAAGATGTGTGTAATCTTGAGTAGAATCCATGTGTTCTCCTTCCGTCCCTGAAAGGAGCAAAGCCACAGGCGAGTCAAGTCCGGTTCAGCCTCTGTGATGTGGGGACCCACGGCCCCGCAAGTGGCAGGGGTGGGTCACTCCAGCATGTGCTGGAGCAGCGAGGGGTCTGCCTCCACGGCCTGGAGGCCCTGGCGTAGGCTGAGGAAGGTGGCCTGCTTCCCGTAGCGCTGGCGCCAGCGGACGAAGGCCTCCACCACCTGAGACTGCACGTTGTGGGGATGGTTGGCCTTGCAGCGGTAGATGTCGGTCTGGGACAGGCCCAGGGACAGCACCACGGGCTCCCACTCCGGGCCCAGCTTCTGGGCCAGCTGGTTAATCTGCCGATCTGACGGGGAGCTGTTGAGGATGTGTGAGGGGATGCCAGCCATCCAGTCACCTGAGGGGGAAAAGGACAGGAAGGTGAATGGGGCAAGCACCTCAGGTGGGTAATCCAAGAGAATGGGGGTGGGGAGGTGTAACTGAGTGACTATTCCCAGTCTTCTTGTACTGCGTGGTGCATCTGACCGGTGCCACTTAGGTTCATGGCAGAAACTCTGAGAAAAGCTGCTGAGCAGAGAAATCCATGGGAGGTCACTTATTTCCTCCTCCTTTTGTACGTAGTCAAACATGAATCATGCCCATGGACCACCCCCCCGCACCCCCCCACCCCGGTCTCTCTTGTCAGAAGCCAAATCAGGAGCTCTGGCTGAAAGCCACTCCCCTCAGCTTGAAGGAGGGGCTCCAGCTGGGGGGGGGGATCAAGGCCCAACCAACAGCCCCTCTCTCACTGTGGCCTTAATATAAAACACCAACCAGCCAGGCGGTGTGGGGGTGCATGCCTTTAATCCCAGTACTCGGGAGGCAGCCAAGGCTACACAAAAAACAAACAAAAAATCAAAAGAGAAAGAAAGAAAGGAAGGAAGGAAGGAAGGAAGGAAGGAAGGAAGGAAGGAAGGAAGGAAGGAAGGAAGGAAGGAAGGAAGAAAGAAAGGAAAGAAAGAAAGAAAGAAAGAAAGAAAGGAAAGAAAGAAAGAAAGAAAGAAAGAAAGAAAGAAAGAAAGAAAGAAAGAAAGAAAGAAAGAAAAGCAGGAGCTCAGAGCTCCACACCCCTCACCCACTCCCCCGTACCTCTCATGCCCTCACTGTACCCCTCAACCCCCTCCTGCACCCCTCATCTCCTGCACCCCCTCCCAGGTGAAAAACAAGCCACAGAGGTAAGAGGTGATGGGAGAGGACAGCAGAGGCCATTAGAGCTGACTCACCATCCCAGCCAAGCCCGCCAGAGGACCACAGAGTGTGTTCTGTGGAGAGCCTGACCTTGTGCTTCCTAAATAAGACTCCAATCGGCTTCAGTCTGGCTCTTGTGAAGTGTGACCATGAGTGGCTGTAAAAGTGCCCGGCCACACCCACAGAAGTCCCACCGGCTCTACAGAAGGGGCGTCTAACCTGGTGTGAGCACAGAGGGTAAACAAGAGAAAACTGGGTAAAGACAGTGGCCCAGCCCCTCCTAAGGTGGAAGAAACGACAGAGTGCAAGGCAGCCAAGGACAGAATTTGAGAGGGACTCAGAGCATCCAAAATGACAGCAGGGGCTGCAGGTTAGAGTCAGCCATCAGCGCCATGGCAACTGTGTAACACTTGCTGGCCAGTCGCATCACACTGCAGTCATCAGCCCCTGCCTCATGCTCTAATTCAACTAAAAGGCGAAATGCTGGATTTGGCATCAAGGTTTAATCTTCTTGTGACTGCTTTTCTCTTCAGTCGAGTGGAGCTGGGGAGGGACCACCAGTGTCTATTATACACTCTGGCATCCTTTTACCTCCAGGCCAACTCAGAACGCAGCAGATGCTGTGAGCCAACTGTCTGGCACTAAAAACAGACTATGTCCTGATTCTTCTATACTTTCATGGTCACGTGCCCTGTGAATAGTGTCACATAATTGAGATGACAGAAGTCTGTGGACACAGGCCAGAGAAAAGATGATTGGCATATATATGCTCCTTCCCCCAAGCAAATCGTACTCGACCTGGACACTTCTCCCTCCCTCCCTCCCACCTTTCCTCTCTCTGCTCCCTCCTGCCCCCCGCCCCCACACAGAATGCAGAGCTGTTTGTGTCACCTGACCTATAGCTGGAAAAGTTTCTTCCATAGGCCTTTTAAGTTTGTGACTTCTGCTCAATACAAAGTTCAGAGAGAGAGAGAGAGGCCTAAGATTTAGTGTCAGCTCCTGAGGGCAGAATGCATTATATCAGTCAAAGCTATAAATTAATCTGTTGTGACCAGCTGGCCTTTGTGTAGTGTGTAGGACACTCTTGGCTCCCACAAGCACAGATGTTTTGTATGTCAGCAGCAATCAAATCTATATTTGATGTGGTGGGAAAAGTAAAAGTGGCATTTCAGACCCCAGATTAAGGCAAGTTCATTTAAATTCTAAATTAAAAAAAAAAGTAAATTTCAAAAGATAAAAGATAAGTAAATTTCAAAAGCAGATACAGAACAATAAAATGGAAACAAAACAGGCAAAGTCAATTAAAAATACAAAGTAAATGTAAGAAGAAGATTCAGTGAGTACTGTGGATGACACACATGCAGCAAAACTACACCAGTGGAACGCAAAGGCTGGCAGCCCAGATCTGTCCACAGGCACACCCGGCCCTCCAGCAGCATCCTTGGTCAGGCCTTCCCAGAACATTGACAGCCCCTGCCATCCTCATCCTGTGCCTTCCTAATGCCTAGGAACAGACCTTGACCTACTACAGCACATAAGAGTATTTGTCCTGTGATGATGAGATTATCCTTGGTTCTGAACCACTAGACTCCACTGAAGACTGTCTGTTCCAGTATTTAAGACCCTAAATGAAAATTCAAATCTGTTCACATGGATAAAATGATCTGCCTTTATACAAATCTTTTATGCAGCTTTAAAATCTCATTTTCAGTGAAGCTAAAACTCACCTGCTTCAAAGGGAGCAACATAGACAGCCAAACCCGCCTACCACAACAGAGGCTTGGATGAGGCAGCCCCTTTCCATAAATGCTCTCCTCTTTACCCTCCCAGCCCTTCAGCCCTCCATCTCTAAGGTCTCACGAGTGGACACAAAGAGAGTATCCGTCCTGCAGCTGTGTCCTCTTCTCTCACTCACACCTATGAGGAGCTGCCCCAGACTCCACCCTAAAAGCCTCTTTGTAATTCCTCTTGGTTTAGACCCGTACATCACCTATGTTTTATATAGGTGTTTTATATATGGTGACTGCTCCCACCATGCTCTTTACATGAGATCCTGTCTTCTACTTCTACCCCTACCCTGTACCATTTTCAGCCCTGACCAGGGACAAAAGAGAAGCAGATGGACTGGGTGTGGTAGTGCATGACTATAACCCCAGCACTTGGAAGGCAGAGGCAGAAGACTCTGGAGTTCAAAGGCATCTTAGGCTACACACTTTTTTTTTTTTAAAGACCAACTTGGGCTATATGAGACCCCCCATCTTAAGAAAATACAAAAAGAAGAAAAATGTGAGATGCTCTCTTCTGATATTTAATCATAATATTAAAGAAAAAAGGTTCTCTAGATCAAGTTCCCAACTCATCTTTTCTAGCAGTATATTTTTGTTTCATAAAGAAAGCCATCATTTCCAACAACCCTTGCTCCTGGTAAGACAGAGGTTTTCGGGATGGATGAGTTTATGTTGGGTCATCTGCCCTTTCCATCCTGCATTCTCCAATGTGTGGTCACCTTAAATGGAACCCAAGATAGATTACAGGGTTCAAAAGAAAATTCAGGGGCTGATGACTATGGCTTGAAGAAGAGGCATGGCAGCCATGGAGCAACTGCTAGAAAAATCAGCAGAATCTGCAGCCAGGAATCTAAAGTAACAGGAAGCCTTTTAAACCTTAACATCTTTTTATTTTAATTTCAGCTATTCTGTGATATGACGGGAAATGCTGTGAGCAGATATGACTTCTTTATGATGGTGACTTGGTTGGATATAGTTAGCCCTTTAAAAAAATATGACACACATTTTTCTGGACTGTCTGTTAATATACCAGTCAATCCAACTCACTGTGGCTATGCACCATTGCTACTGATTTAAAATAATACGTTATGAAAAAGTAGAACTTATTCTAGGTTTGAACATAATTTTCAGTATCATAGACATTTAATTATTTCAACACATCAGTGGGATAGAAAGAAAAGTCATATTAGTATTATAAAAACTAAATTTGATGAAAAAGTCCATCTATAATTTTTAGAAATATATTTTTGTAAAAATTCAAAATTTAGGCAAATTTCTTGACTTGATAAAATGTGAGAATTATTTCAGCAAACATTTTCTTTGGTGGGAACCTTTAAATGTATTCACTTTAACAATGGAAACAAGAGGGCTGATGATGGTTCAAGGCAGATATCTGGGTACCCTCAACTGTACTCCATGTCCCAAAAAACACCAGGAGATACAGGAGACTCCATAAGAAAAGTGATTTAAATTAGAGGACTCACAAAAGCAAGCACATGAAAAGGTACTAAAACTCAAAATTTAGAGAAACAAGAATGGAAATAACAATGATAAAGTTTTCTGTGTGGAGAAACTGAGACAATCCCAGGTTTTGTGTAGACAGCGAGCTGGCAGTGCAGGGGAACGGGATATACTTTGGAATATTGGTTTCGGCTCTAAGTATCAAGAAGAATTCTAAAACCCATTCCTAAGGTGATGTTTAAAGCTGTCTGTATGGTAGGTTTCATTACTTGTGCCAGTAAACACACACACACACATCTTGAACTCAGCCAACATATAAAATATTGTGTATAAAATGCACATTTATCCATCCAATATTCTCAATCATATTCACAAGAGTGATGCACGTGTTTCTAATCAGGCAGGCGACACACTGGATGTAGGAGGTGGAAGCAACCTAATGGCTTATCATTGCGAAGCTTAAGAGGAAGTGTGTGAAGGGCGCCAGCAGGGACGAGCTGACTATGGCACAGCACCAAAGGGATATCCAGAAGGAGACAAAACAAAAACAACGTCCAAATGCCACTTAGAAAACAGCCCAAGTAAACAAAAAATATGTATCAGACCAAACACTCATCTGGGGGCGGGGACAGAAATGAATGACAAAGAAGCTTCTCATATCAGTTAATGAAATACAGTACAGCACGGATAAGTTGATGAGCATGGAGATAGGACAGGGGTGGATACAGTCGAAGGGACAGAGAAAGAGAGGGAGAGAGGAGGAAAAGGAAGAAAGGAAGGGAAGACCAAGCCCCACACTGCTAAGCAGCCACCTCTTGGTGGTCCTGGCAGTGATCCTGTGGGATGTTGTCTGTGGTGGGTGGGCAGGGTTGAAGATGTTTCAGCTGGCAAGCTAGCCTAGTGGTCACTTCCAAGGACCTAG